TTTTTTAATGGAATGGGGCACATGATATCCCCATCATAATAAGTTCTAACCCTCGAATATAAAATCGTTATCTTTCAAAATGGTGGACTCAAGAACCAATTATCAACACGCTAAATATCATCTTTTGGAAGGATCTATCAGAGTATGTAATAAAATATGGAAGATGGAATTCTGTCCGCCTGTCTCTTGAGCTTTTTATAGTATAATCTGTTATCACTGCTACACGTATATCTGATTCATTTTAACTGGCTACATGCTATGCTAGACCGGCCAATAGAAGGTACAAGTCTTGGTCTTACGTCAACCTTTTTATCCAAGTTTTCAAAAGCTCCAATCATTACTATTCTTCTCGACCTTTCCATAACGCAATGATGGGGGTGTATCATATATACCTACATATGCATTATATGTTCATGTCAATATTGCACAGTTCTGAACAGTCGAATACTATTAGTAGAAAACAGGACTAACAAGCGTATCTGAATTATGCAAATGAAACCATATGATTTCATTTCTATCTTCGACACAGTGAAGTGAGACATTGCATGTGATTCCAGCCATGAATCCGGTATATCCTCTGTAATTCTGCATTTTTATATTATATTCATGTTTATGCATGTTGGGTATGTACATGTTCTTTCGGATCTCATAATAAAAGCAACCGCACAACAAAAGATCAGGATCTATAAGTATCGTTTATTAACAATTTTCTTTTTATTTAAGAACTTCATTGCTCAAATTTTGCAATTTTCGCAGTTTTGTTCATAATTCACCCATTTTCATTTTTCTATGGAGGAATAGTTGCTACGCTTTCTACTTCAAATTTGGAATCGAATACACGGAGACACAAAACATGTATAAAAATAAAAGTGTTGCTCCACTGTGCTCATATTGAAAACAAAAGTTGAAGTCTCACTCTCGGTGGAGCAACATGACCATGCGCTCATATGAAAAAGTTTAATATTCGAAAATTGGTGAATTTTGGACAGAAATGCCAAAAATTGTGAAGTTTTAAACTCTAGCACCAAAATTAAAATTGAATGGATTAAGTCAGTCAAACAGACCCATGCAATTAGTTCATGATCCATAGTCACCACCCATTTGATAATGAGATATATATACCCCTACCAAAATTTTTCTGAAAATGACCAGGTGCCTCTGAAACATCAAAAAATTTTGAGCGAATTTTACTTTTTTCGCGTGTTTGTCTCTAGCTCCGCCGCCACTGGACCGAATGTCAAAAACCGTAAAGCTTTTTCGTCCTTGGCAGTAGTAACTGTGTGTGAAAATTTTCTCCAATTCCGCATGGTACTTTCCAAGTTGGAGGCGTTTCAAAGATTAGCGGACAGACCAACAGACATACCGACTGAAATGAGTGACATTGTTTTTGGTGATGGATATGTCATATAAAATTTGAACTTTTTCGCGATTAATATACCTTACCTCCTCGCCAGGAGGCGTGGGAAGTAAATAGGGAAATGTTAATGAAGTTAGAATATTCTAAAAGGTTTAAAGGCCTAAAATTCATACATGCGTTCAACTTGAAATTTGAATTATTTTCAGGATCGAAATCTCGCTTATAGCCCCAGATCCTTTCGGATTTATTCAGGGTGTTTCCCAAACAAAGATCAGTGGTTCAGGAGGTGGCTGAAATACTATTTTATCTTGTAATGTTTTTCAAAAAACCGTTTTGTTTAGTAGATAGGGTGCGAACAAAGGTTTCTAAAAGTTCTTACAAAAGCATATCAAGAAGTAGTCATTTAGGACCGTATCGTCAGTCGTCCCTACAATTGTAGGGCGCGTTTATGGCCTCCTTGATTGTCATACTACTTTCTCTCCTCCAAAAATTTCTAGATTGCACCTATTCTGTGTCAGCGTCAGCGCTCTCCTATTGTGAAGATATGTTTTCTTTTTAAATTGTAGGAAATTTCAGGCTGATAAAACATGATATAAATCAAAAGCATGCACAATTTGATGCAAATAGATATTTGTGACATAACCTCAAAATAGAGTGCTGCCAGGGAAAAGTAGAAAACTATGACAATCAAGGAGGCCATAAAGGCGCCCTACAATAATTGTAGGGACGACTGACGATACGGGCCTTAGAGCACAATTTGTAAAATAAGAAGCTTTTTGGCAGTTTTCTTCCCATAGTGTATATGACATGGATAAAATTATAAATTTCTATTCTAACTGATCATTTTGCACAGTTTTCCTAGATCAGAAAATACTATTTGGTACTTCTGCTTTCTAAACAAGGGGGTTATTCAGAAATCGCCAGAAGACAAAATAGTCTACGATAAGGTTGAAAACCCCTCTGAGAGAAATAAGAAATGCAAGAGAAATCACATTAGGGCAAAATCCTGAATTCTCTCTTGTTGATTTCATCAAGCCACTGAATCCCTATCTGAAAATAACTTCAGTTTCATTCAGGTCTTACTAATCGTCAAGCTATTTCTCGACTTTTAACGAGAGTGAATCAGTGAAAGTAATTGGCAATCCGCCCATCGAAAATTCACTTTTTAGTTTCAGTTTATAATTATGATTTTCACGCTTTTATGTAAATGATCCAGGATATGCAGAGCATTCGTAAAACGAGAAACATAAATTGTTACGTAGTAGGCGGTATCGTATCGGTGTATTTTATGCCACTTTTACTTTCTTTAGCGCATGAGTTGCATGTAGAGCTTACATACCAAAAACGATGTTCGATTGGATAAGAGTTATGTCTCTCCAGAATGCGGATTGAATAATAAAATGCCCGCAGCCTGGACGCAAAGAAAAGTCGTTTAAACTGTTTTGATCAGAAAATAATGGGGTGGATTTCCAGACTGTGTAGGGATATTGAATTTCTGGACCTCTGTGATCAAGGTCATCTTGAACCAATGGAAACAGAATCTCTGTATATAAATGTGAGTGTCTGCCAAGGCATCACGTCTGAAGCACAATACGAATAGACGTAAAAAATTGTACAGCCATTAATTAATACTGGGGGACGGATATACCTAGGCATATAGTCGATTTGGCAATGATATTTGACAATATTCAACTGTCGCGGCAAGCACCAAAATCCCCACCGTCAGCGTCAACCTGTGATTGTCAAGTGATGCATACGTTTTATTTTGCACTAGCTGTTACCCACGACTTCGAAGGCTTGAAACTGTTATTAACATTAAAAAAAATGTTTTTATGTAATGCTATAAACTTCGATCACAATTTGTATCTTTGATGACATTAGTAAATTGACAATCAACTTGCATGCTTGGGAAATTTGATTGTTTTATTGGTAGCGCCACCTGCACATTTTGCAGGCAAAACGGCGTGACAGAAAGCTAGTAGAAGAATAAAATAAAAGATTGTATACCAAATCGATTTTTATGTGCCATTTTTGATATGAATACTTTGAAACTGGACAATAATATGGCCTTCATCATAATGATAATCTTTTCGACTTTAGGCTTTCTTTACCAAGAAGACTAGTCTAATTTGGCCATAGCCTCAATTTTTATTGTGATTTTAATGGCATTTGTTCATAATCTACTTACACAATTTTACTGAATTGTTCTTATAGCCGGCCGCTCAACAAATACGTAAAAACGTCATTAAGTCGAAAAAATTGACTATGCTCTTTTAAACATTTGCCACAGAATGCTTATCTCGCTTACAGTTAACCCCAAAGCAGGAAAGGCAAAAGTACACATGTTATAAAATGAAATACAGCTCTTAAACGTGACAAAATTGACTGAAAGACACAATGCAGGGACCAGTGTATGGATGTAGATACACACACCAACATGCAATAAAATTAGGTACTATGTCATTTAAAAAAAAAATTAAACGCATCAACACAATAGAGAAAGCCAAACTTGTTGGTCTCCAGCTGCTGATTTTTATCACCCACTGAGAGGTAGGGAAGCGAATAAAAGCGACGTTTGACATATATGTAATACAAAATTTCACACTAGGTCTCTTTACGTCGCAGCTTTAGGGGTTCATTTGAAGAGTATTTTCATGCAAATCCGAACACTAGAGGATTCAGCAAACGATTTTAAGCACATAGAAAGACGATTATATCTTATTAAAAAAGTTTGTTTTTGGTTATTTTCATCGCCTACTGGCGGAGAAGTATTGTAATCGCGAAAAATTCCGAAAATCAGATTTCATGTTATATGGCATGTACGTCACGAAAAACAATTTTACCCGTTTCTGTTGATCTGTCTGTCGGCTTCGCCACAAATCCTTGTCCGGTCTATAACTTGGAAAGTACTGCACGGACCTGTAGTTTTTGAAAATCGATCCAGTGGCTTTTCGAAAACAAATTTAGAGGTAAAAAATTGGAGGTGGGGTGTTGTAAGGTAGTGAAGGAGGGTGTATAGCAATTTTTTGATGTAACACCGGTAATACTACGCACCTATTAGACTCGTCATAGATTGTCCAGTACATTACCATTCAATCTTAGAGAAATATTTACAGACGTGAATCGTGTCTCGGGCGCCGTCTCCTTCCTTAGTGCAGCAAACCCTATCTGTGTATACAGTGTTGCTAGATTCGTCGCGATAAAAAGCAGTTAGCAGGTGATGCGATATGCACATACGAGGTGGGCGCGATATTATCTATAAATATGAGTATTATGCTTGGTGTGTAATTTTAGGAAGTTACCTGGTTTCGTAAGGTAATATTTTATAGTATAATGTATTATATGAAGTATATACGCACACATCTAGAGCTATTATAATCAGGTATTAATAATTAATTAATAGTTTTACACCAGGGCTCTAAGGAAATAAGGCTACCGTGTACGGACACGTTCATTATTACAATCTGAGGATTTTTTTGTCCATGAAAAGCCCAAATAGTGCACTAATGGTTCTCACAAAATCTCCATATTGCCACTGCTATTGCACTACATCGAAAATGGTACTAGAAGGTGTTTCGATGGCGTGGGTTGTACATATATAGTGAATCTATTTGACGCCATTTTTTTGTTTTGTAAATTTCAGTACGGCGACTACTAGCGAAAGGCGTCAGCCCTGATTCATGCAACGAAGATGGTCTGACTGCTCTCCACCAGTGCTGCATCGATGACAACGAACCGATGCTGCAACTACTTATCCAATATGGCGCCAATGTGAATGCAACTGATAGCGAAAAATGGACACCTTTGCACGCCGCAGCCACTTGCGGACATTTGCGACTAGTCAAGTATGTATTTGATATTTTGTCAGAAATATAACTGAATTTGAATTTTTTTAATTTGAAAATAAATATTCTACTACGTAGAATTCGGGTATTGAGTTCCGCCGAATCAACAAGCTCATTTCTCGCTTTTTGTTACACCGTTGATTAACGTATTCTATTTGAAGCTAGCCAAACTAACTCCACATTCGCGTGTACAAAAAACTATCCGAGATAAAATAAGTTACCGTAGCGTCATCTATGAGAATTTGTCACAGCTGTTTCTCTATTTTCTGTATACAGGGTTATCCAAATTAAGTGTCCACCATTAGTAACTTTGTTATTAGTGAAAATACAAAGTTGTTTGAATTAGCAAACTAGTAGCATTTTTAACGCTGGTAAAAATGAGAAATAAAAAAAACAATTGAGAGTCGTTATTTTGATTTTTTTCAGTAAAATAACATTTTTTTAAATGGAAACCCCTGTATATTATATTTTTTTCTGTTAAAGCATCAAATTTTAAACAAAAAAGCTTACAATAACTTTTCTCCTAGGTTACAAATTGTTGAAGTTATGGCCTCCAATCTGAAACAATTAAATTGTATCGACAAACTTTATTTTCAACATCAACTTATAATCTTACAAAATACAATAACAATTTTTTTTAAAGAAGATGCTCGAAAACACCACCTTGTTCTTCAATACATTTTTGGGCACGTTTTTCAACTGCTCGAACTGTCTTAAGTATGGTCCTACCATCTATCTGGGTTATCTTTTCCCTAACTGCAGTCTTTAACGCGTCAAGGTTATCGTACCTTCGCTTGTAAATTTGGTTCTTTAAGTAACCCCACAAGAAGTAATCAAGTGGGTTTAGATCTGGTGATCTGGGAGGCCACTGTATTGGGCCATTTGTTCCTATCCACTGATCATTAAAAGTAGTACTTAGAAAATGATAAGTACCTCTGGAGTTGTGGGCAGGTGCGCCATCTTGCTGAAAATGCAGATGATGTCTACTTATAAGATCCAATTCGTCTAAGAAATTAGTCAGAATTTCTGACATAAATTCCACATATCTTTCACCAGTTAGGGTTCCCTCATAAAAGAACGGGCCAACAATTTTTGAACCAATTATACCGCACCAAACGTTGAAACTGAAACGGACTTGTGGGCCTCTTGGATGTACTAACAAAAGATTTTCTCTTGACCAATAATGGTGGTTTTTTCTATTAAACATTCCAGAATTTGAAAAATTTGATTCATCTGTCCATAAAAGGTAACGAAAGTTATTTACATTTTGGCGACAGAAGCTAAGATACCAATGGCAAAAAACAAGTCTTCTCTCTGGATCCCCTGCCAAAAGCGTTTGAACTGGTCGGTACTTATACGGAATAAATTTGTATTTTTTTAAAATCCTTTGAACAGTACCATAACTGAAATTAGAGTCCTTGAGAATATCTGCTATTGAATTCTCACGATAAGCTTCAAAATATCCAATAACTGCAATTTCTGTGGCCTCGCTTATTATGAATTCTTTTTTTGCCCTTGTTTTAGCAAAAACATTTTCGTTGCCCCTAAATTTTCGATAAAGTCTCAGAAAATATCGTTCATACGGTTGAATGCGAGCGGGATATAATTCACTGTAGTATTCTCTTGCTCTCAAGGAGGATTTTCTGCACACTAAATAGCATTCTAACATCACTTTTCTTCATGGGAGAACATTTTTCTTTAAATTAATGACACAATAAAGCTTATAAACAAGTATTTACACTAATGTTTGACATTATTTGATTTTATCATTGTTTTCCAAAGCCTTCTAGTTGCGAGTATGTCCAGCTTAACAATTTGTCGCTTATCTTAATGCTGTCAAATCGCGAACGCCATGTTGTTTTCATAGCCGTCTTAATATTATAATACTGCAAATAATTAAAAATATTTATCGTTATTTTGACTTTATTTTGACTTTAGCGGAAAAGTCATTATGAACTTTTTTGTTTAAAATTTGATGCTTTAACAGAAAAAAATATAATATACAGGGGTTTCCATTTAAAAAAATGTTATTTTACTGAAAAAATCAAAATAACGACTCTCAATTGTTTTTTTTATTTCTCATTTTTACCAGCGTTAAAAATGCTACTAGTTTGCTAATTTAAACAACTTTGTATTTTTACTAATAACAAAGTTACCAATGGTGGACACTTAATTTGGATAACCCTGTATATAATACTCTAAACATATAGGCGCCATCTATGAGACACTAACCTTTTCAAAGTATACAGGGTGTTTCAGTTTACTGTTGCATAACTTTAAGATTCGATAGAACTTTTAAAATTAATGCATAAAGTCTATATAAACATGGGTCGAAAAATGCGTGACTTCCGAAATTCAGGGTGTTTAAATTTACTTTCTAAAATAGTTTTTTTTAAATATTTCGAACAATATTTGATGTATAACAGTGAAAATTGGTATACAAGGGTTTTTTGGTACGACAAAACGAACCATGGGCATAGTTTTACTATAGCCGCTAGAGGGCGCTCTCTACTGTACCTGTAGTGTATTAAAATGACCGAAAATTTTTTCTTAGTGCAATTTTTTGCTTTTTGAATAAAAAACTGATTCTTCGCACTTTTCAACATAAAAAAGCTGTCTTGTGAATTTTTGTTATAGTTAGCCGTTTTTGAGATATTTCGATTTTTAAGGTTCGATGCATTTTTAATTATTTATGATAAAATAACGTTAAAAAGTCAGTATCTCGATAATTTTTAGAAGTAGGCTGTGCCTACAAATATTTTTGGAATTGAAAGCAGAATAAGGTTAAACGTCAATTAGTTGTCTCTTGAAACCTGAAACGTTTTTTTGCAATTGTGAATGCACGAAATTTAGTTTCTTTTACCTGTGTTAGGAGAGTTTCTGGCGCCTTGGGAATTTCAGCAAGCCATGTTCACCGCGTTCTTAGAAATGACCATAGACCTCCTAACCATTTGCAACCTGTGCAAGGACTACAGCCAGGGGACGGAGAACGAAGAATCACATTTTGTCAGTGGATTCTTGATAGAACTGATAATAATAGGGAGTTTTTAAGTAACGTTTTATGGACCGATGAGTCATGCTTCACTAGACGTGGAGTGGTAAATTTCCATAATCAACATATTTGGTCGCATGAAAGTCGGCATACAGTTCGGGAAAGAAATTTTCAGCATGAATTTAGTGTGAACGTGTAGATTGGCATCTACCGTAATCGATTATTTGGACCCTACCTTTTGCCTGCAAGGTTAAATGCTGCGATCTTCTTGGAATTTTTAAAGGCTGAACATGCAAATATGTGGGATGATGTTATGTTAGATTTAAGAAGATTGGCCTGGTTCCAGCTTGATGGTTGTCCAGCTCATTATTCGAGAATAGTTAGAAACTGGCTGGACGAAAATTATCCAGAAAGATGGATCGGCCGTGGAGGACCAGTCGCCTGGCCTCCACGATCCCCTGAGCTAAATCCATTAGATTTCTTTGTGTGGGGATTTCTAAAAGAAAAAGTGTACCAGACTCCCGTAACCACAAAAGATATGCTAATAGACAGAATCAGGAATGCATGTGATGAAATAAGGCCTTATTTGAATAATGCTATACGACGTTCGATCATTCGTAGATATGAATTGTGTATTGAACAATTGGGTTTACATTTCGAGTAACTACTTTAGATTTTGTATGTTTGTCCTAACTATCCAATAGCATTTTAGTTGTAAATAATTAATTTAATTTGTTAAAAATAATATTGGAACATTAAACAAATTAATATTCTGTTTTTTTGTGTTTATTTGGAGTTAGGAATTATTGTTGTGTTTAAAAACACAATCTAAACGATCATCTTAATTACTTGTAATGCGCAAATCGAAAATGTAAAAAAAAAATATTATTTTTCCATAAATAATTAAAAATGCATCGAATATAGATGACGCTACGGTATCTCATTTTATCTGGTATAATTTAATTTTATTTTCCTGTGAAAACAAGTTTGAGCCAGCTGAAGCAGTGTGGCAATGAAGCGATGAGGAAAGATCGTCCGCACATGTTTCATCTCCCCATTGATTCTAATCTTTCAAAACCAGAGACAGCATCACATCCATCTTAAAAAACAACGGTGAAAAAGGATCTCCACTATATGGATTATACTCCGGTCACTATAAGGATTAAAATCGGCTTGGTATTTCATTCGTTTATTTAAGCACTCTTGGCATCGACGCTAGCTTGTTCGCTTCATGAAAATTTCCCTTGTGCGTCTCGGCTCAGATTTTATTCCTGTAGCTTAGAGGGATGAGCTGGATAAGTCTCTGCTATCTTCTGATATAATCTGGTATAATAAGTCAATTTTCTTTCAGAATTCTGATAGCCGAAGGAGCGGACCTATTAGCAGTTAACGCCGACGGCAACATGCCCTACGACATTTGCGAAGATGAAGCCGCCTTGGATTACATAGAAAACGAAATGGCGAAAAACGGGATTACGCAGGAGATCATAGACACGAAGCGAGGCGATACAGAAAGGCGGATGTTGGAAGACCTAAAGAGGGTGTATGCTTCTGGAGGGGATTTGGAGTATTATGACAGTCAGGGAGCTACGCCGGTGGGTATTTTGTAATAATAAATGCTTATCATACAGTATCATTCTAGGTCCTCCAGGCGAATCACGCCTAAAAAGCCCTGTATGTGGATGCTTTCTGCAGTAGATGAAGTTTCTGAATACTAGGAATACCATCTGGTGAAGGGCAGAAAATGGTGAACAAAGAATCATATTTGGAAAAATCTCAACTGTCGACTGTGTTTATTTTATCACATTTTGTGATATATGTATCTTGAAAGCTATCCCCTTCTGAGTCAAGTTTGACAACCCTGTGCTAATAATCTGAAATATTCAACAAATAAATAACATGGGCTGAAATTGAGGACCAAAGATTATGTTTTTGCTGTTAAATCTGTTATTCCATCCATCATTTTTCGGAAAATGAAGGATGCTAAACTTTCTTTTTCAAACAAAATTCATAATATATGTCAAACTGATCCTGAAAATCTACGTTACATCGATTTTCTTTTCTTAAAAGGGACTATCCAAATATGCATTAAATTCCATTTAAACAAATGCTACTTTGACATGCAGCTTCAAAATGGGACGCTCTGTTTAATAGTAAATATATTACTTGCGCTTATTCTTTTCATTTTTTTAACAATTTTCTGCTTCTTGTCATCCCAGCGTATATCGATCTTGTTGTTATACGCGGTACTCTGAACCACCTCTATTAAAAACCTCAACTACTTCAGAAAACATCTCAAACTGTTATTCGCCTAGAGTATAGATTCGTATTCTGCTCGACAATACTCTGCTTGTAATCATGTGAGAGGTAATGTCCACTACACACCTTAAGGTTTTTGCTGGTGGTGATATAATTATTTGAAATTATTAAGTCATTGAATGATGAATGATGAACAATTGACTGAAACCGTCCAAAATCCGAAGAAATCAACCAACAGGATTTGATTTTAATTTCGGATATGGATGGAACGTACACGGCCCCACAGAACCGGTGGCTCTCAGGGTTCGATGCTTGGACCAATCCTTTCCTCACTGTACATCCATGAAAACCCCAGCCCTAGCAACTGTGAAGTCTGTATCTACGCTGACGCTGTTGCATTGGTGGCTCAGTCGTGGTCTGGTAAACTAGTCTGCGACTGCAAAGTACGGTGGAGGAAGTATTACAGTGGGCGGGATGGTGGCTGATTAAAATTAACCATTCGAAAACGCAAACCATCTACTGTACGAAAAGATGTCGCGGCGCTCCGTCTGAGGTTTCAGTGAATGGAGTTTGTATACCATGGGAAAGCTCCGCTATGTATCTCGGTGTCATTCTGGACACAGGGATGACTTGGTGGAATCATATATCATATGGAAGCGATATAAATCAAATTCCAAATTACGTTTCGGCAGCTTTACCCATTACTGCGCAAACCTTCAAAATTAGGTTTGATTAACAAGATTCGGTTCTATAAAGTGGTTGTAAGACCAGTAATGACTTAGGTTTGTGCAGCTTGGTGTATTATTGCCAAAAAACCATGCAAAATTTACAGGATCTTCAAAGCAGGACGATGCGCACTATTATACGTTTCTAACGAAACCCTTTACAGAGACCTCGATATCCCATACCTACATTAAGCAACTAGTGCAGCGGTGCTATAGCCAAGCGCAATCGCACAGCAACCCTTTGTTGTGCGAGCCGGTGGACTACACAGTCGATTAAATTTGCAAGCACAAAAGGCGGCAGCTCTCAGTGTATTACATCAAAATCAAAGCATTTTGACAAATCCCTTACAAAAATAAATTTTTGGACTATATCAAAATTTGTCAGATGATTTTAACAATGCCCAAACGCTCTATGTCCTAGAATATTCTCGTCTTCCTCTTTGGCCTCTCCTTTCCTTCTCTCCTTTTCTGCTCTTTTTTTCTGAACAATGTCTAGTTTCTGGGTTACCAGACCTGAAAGACTTACAAACTGACACTATGACATAACAGCTAATGTCTTACGAATCGACAGCCAACGATAACTTGTTTGATCGAACGTGAAAATACATTTAATGTTAATCCTTAACATTTGGCGGAAGCCTATTCACCTCCGTAGTAAAATAGGGTTCCATCTCAACGACCGTGCATGGAAAAACTTCGTACAACATAGCCTTAACGCGAAATTTTAAGTTAGAACATTTGACTTAATGCCTTTTACTGCCAACGCCTACGGACGAGGAAGTATTATAATATCTCTATTCCCTCCAACCCAAGTAATTCTACTCACCAATGAGGCATATTTCACTTATAATAGATATCCCCGTACATTTACCCTTAAAACTGAAATATCTCCATACGTGCACCGCAGTTAGCAGTCGCTGATGTGCGCCCCTAGGAATTTCTCTCAAGGGAGAGGGAGAGTCATTTAATTTTTTGTTATACATTTTCATAGATAACTTTTTCTAAGAAGGTCTAACTAGTGTCGATCATACCTACATATCCTTTACGAACTATAATAACGTCGCATGAGAAGTACAGAGTCAGCTTATTTGACGCCTGTTTTTTTTATATTTCGGTAGTCAAGGGTCAAGATTTTCAAAAAACCATTATTTAACTTTCTGACATCAAATTTTTCGTGTATTGTTAATTTTGAGTAGACATATAAAAACTTGTGAAGTTTAGCGCCAATCTCCTTAATTTCATTTTTTTTACTAGAGATAATTTTGTTGAGATAAGAGTGCAAACATATTCTTTTTCATTTTTACAGTTGCATATAGCAGCCGCGAATGGCTACATCTCCGTGGTAGAATTTTTGTTAGAGTGCGGTGTAAGGACAGATGTGAGAGACAAGGACGACTGGCAGCCTTCTCATGCTGCTGCGTGTTGGGGCCACGTGGGTACTTATGTAATTTTACATGTATTTGGACTTACTAATTTTCATTTTAGCTAGAAGTTTTGGAATTGTTGGCGCATGCTGGGGCAAACTTGAATGCGAAAAATAAACACGATGAAACTCCTTCAGGTTTGTAAAGCAACATTGTCATATTAGGCTAATCATTTGAAGCCATGTTTAATTGGTACTTCAGAAAATCAAAATCAGCTAGGTTAGTTGGAAGCAAATAGCAAGAAATGAAGCATGAGGAAGCAAAAAATAGGAGTTGAAGCACCTTTCCGCTTTCTAACAGTTCTACACAAAAACACAGAAATAAAAGAACGTTTTCTAAAATGCAAGGCATTTTGCTAATAGAAGGGGGTTTTTGGCCCTGGAATCACTCATATTTCAAGTTGATCGCATCTTTGAAACGCGTGCATTTAAATATTTTCGAACATATGCATTTTAAACTTTCATCGTACATTTTAGTATGTGATTCTTATTTAACAGCTAAAAGTTCGCAATTTTGACGTTTTGGTCCAAAATTCACCCGTGTTCAGATATTTAACCTACAATTTTTACATGAGCGCCTGGTCACAACACTTCTAATTTCAAATATACATTTAATAAAACACACTGAGACACAAAACATATATGAAAATAAGTGTTGCTCAATTGCGCTCACATTAAAAACAAAATTTAAAGTCCTATTGTATTAGGGAACATGCATGATTTTTTTTTATTTCTGTCGATTATTTAAGTAAATATATTACCGTAAATACATATTTCATTCAGGGTAATGCCTATATTTATTTTTAATTGAATATTAAAAACTGTATTGCCAATTACGTTGACTTAAATGCTCCATTTCGTGAGTAACTATTACGTTTTAACGTCAACTGACGTGAACAGCCAATCAGCAAGTGACATCTTTGTATTAGTCTGTAACGTTGGTAATAATGAATCGGGTGTAAATGTGGTAAAACTCAGAACCGTATTCATTTTTGTATCCGGAGGAAATTTTCTAAATAAAATAGTTATTAGCAAGTAGTACGGCTCTGTCTACCTGGCGTTGTCGGATCCGTCAGAATTATGTGTAACTTGCCGATATGGGGATAATTAGCTGTTCTACTGTAATGGACATTCGTGAAAAAGACTTTACCTTCTGTTTATTTTATTTTCGCTGCCCTAAAACCCAGTTATGTACCAAACCAAGATCCTTTCAGCTTTCCTAGTGTTTGATCAGATTTCCTAAATGAATATCATATATATATATATATATATATATATATATATATATATATATATATATATAACCAAAGCAATAAACCTATCTGAATATGCAAAAGTATCCAGTCAGTCACTTTGAAATGCATCTTTTATTAGATATATGTGAAGATCCCGAGATAAAAGAGAGGATATTAGAGCTGCGGACAGAGCAGGAAATTAAGAGACAAGCGGAAGCGAAACGGAAAGTCAGAAGATCTCAAAGTAACACTAGAACGCAGTCTGTGAGACGAACTTCATTGCGTGACAAAGGACTGACGGCACGAAGGGACGCTGTTGAGGAGGCCAGGTTGAGGATGCAGGCTGAAAGCAATGTAAGTTCTTGTAGAGAATTTATCATATTAATATTTTTCTGAAAATGATCAGGACCCTCTGAAACGTCAAAAATCGATGGTCGAGCGATTTTTATTTTTGTTGCCTGTAGTTTCGGACCGATTTTCAAAAACTCCATAGCTTTTTTGTCCTTGACACAGTAGTAACCTTGTTTCAAAATTTCATGAAAATCCGAGCAGTATTTTCCAACTTATAGACGAGTCAAGGATTAGCGGGCAGATGAACAGACAACAGACAGACAGACGGAAATGGGTGACATGGGTTTTTAAGATGTGTATGCAATATAAGATCCAAAAAACATAATTTTCATTTTTGAAATTTTTCGCGATTTCTTACGAGTGCCGTATGAAGTACAATGATATGATCAATTTTAAAAAAAGTCGTTAACCCCGTTTTGGACGATGTAGTTCAAGCTCATACAAAACAAGTTAGGCCAGTTGAAAGAATTTTTTTTAACAGCTCCTCTTTGTTCAGATGATTATAAACTTACCTTCTAAAATTTGCATCAAACCACATTTTTTGGTTTGGTTGTTCAATGTATTTTTGAGCAAGGTCAAACTGATTCTATGATAACTGCGTCAGAACTGCTTGCCAAGATCTTTGCTGCCAATTCCACCACGAACGTCCCCCCGAGTGCTGTCGATTCAAAGGGTTCCATACACTATGCGGGTAACAGACCGCGTAAGAGTTGCCTTGTCTCTCGACATCGACAAAGCTTCTGATCCGGAGTTGATTCTTGCCGTTGTACTAACGAGATGTGCGGCGGAGCTTGCTTCAGTTCTTTCGCATCTTTTCCAGATATCTTACGAATCCGCAACTTTCCCAGAAAACTGAAAATTTGCCCAAAAAAAGATCTAAGATCGACTCTTACAACTCTGCTTGCTGATATAAGTAAGGTGATGTAGAGGTAGGAACTGGAGTACGTAGAACCTCACGGATTGATTAGCATCAGGCAGTATGGTTTCCGGCACCAGGGACCTCCTAGCTTACGTCACGCAACTGTGGAGCAAACTCCTCGTCTTGTGGTGAGGCTCATGCCGTTGCTCATGATATCATGGAAGTGTTCGATCAGCTGTGGCATGCTGCCTTATCATACAAACTTCCATCCTATGTCTTCCCAGATAAGCTTTGGTGACTGACTTCCTCTCTGGCCGCAACATATCGTCGTAATTGACGGGATTTCTTCTTCATCCCAATGTCAACGCGGGTGTTCCCCAACGATCAGTCTTGGCTCTGACATTTTTCCTCTTACATATTAACGACTTCCTTTCCTATATGATCAATCCGATCGACAGCTGATGATAGTATTCTACATGTAGGAATTTAGAGTTTCAAGCGGATCTCTGCCGGTTACCTGGAGAGAGGGAGACTGGCAGCGACTTCCTCTCTGGTGAGAGATCTGGAGGTTATCACTGTTTCAGATGAAATGATATGGTACAGTTTAATGCTTCTAAAAGATAGTACTATACCTTGAGTGACAGACAACAAGGGCGCTAGTGCTCATCCGGTTTTGATGGATATGCGAGTTCTACCAAAGAGTCGTTCATTTCGGCTGGTCGGAGTCCAGCGGCAGCTGCTGAGAAAAATCTAGGCTGTTTAGGGCTAAGAAGAACTTTTCTCCATTTGACTTCCTCACTCTGAACAAGTCCCAGATAAGACCTAGTCAGGAGTACGGCTCACATGTTTGGGATGCTGCCGACCCGACTACATGATCCATGCTCGATGTTATTCAGGGAAGGGCTGTCCGACTGATCGATGGCTCGTTTACATTCAGATCTTCCCGATACGACTGCTCTCTTGTCCCTTGGGTATCTACCTGAGCAAGTTTTTCTTCAAGCTGTTCATAACAGCCGCGGTGCGCTGGTATTTAGGTTTCTGCCTGCGTGGCTTTATAAAAAAAGAAGCAGTGTTTGCATCTCCCTGTGTATTGCAAGGCTCATCACTGATGCATTTTCGCCACTAATGAATAATGAACAACAAATAAAAATGAAACAAACACATGTACAACATTTCTCCGGTAGAAAATCGCTTGCATTTAATTATTTCCAATCATTGAATATATGGAATAATACATAATATAACATTAAGAAAGTTATAAACCGTAATTACCAGAAATATTTATTACAGTTTATGCGTTGCGCCGTGGGCATTCCTGAAGTGAAAATGGCTTATGGATTTAGCGAAACATCACACAAAAAATCTTTAGTAGCTTCGTTAGCCTCACGTATACGTCAGTTTCGCGACTTGTGCGTGGTGCTATGGCCAAAAAGAAGCAACGTCCGGTCATTTTGTTGTCGTACAGACATAAAGTGAGTGAGTGTGACCGTACACCTATATGTTTTATGCAGACATATTTCCGTGTTTTTAATTAGCAATGTTCTACTTTGACTGGCGAGTTTGATATTTGTTTTAATTTTCTTATATAATTCGATATGATTACGGATCACGCTTACGAAAATCTATATTTTAAAAAGGAAATGTTAATATTTCCACCTTAAACATACAATGTGTAAGGAAGAACTGAACTTTTGCAAAATTGTAATTTATCTGCGCTTAAGTTTTAAAGTAAGCTTCAGTTTGTTCTGTTTAAATAGTTTGATCGACATGAAATGTGTGATTTAAACATCATCGAACAGCAGATATATCTATTATATTTTGTTAAAATTAGATTAAAAAAACTTGTGACTGGGAACATCAGGAAAAACCATGCCACTCATTTCCTTCGGTTTGTCTGTCCGCAAAACTTCGACCCTACATAACTAGGAAAGCATTACTCAGATTTTGAAAATGCAACTATAATACCAAGGGCGAAAAAGATTTTTAGGATTTGTAGATGGTTCCAGTGGCGGCAGAGCTACGGACAAAAAAACAAAATTATTAAGTATCACTAAAACTTCGTTTTCCGACATTTCAGGAACTCTTTATTTTTAGATTTTTTTTAAGGGTAACAAATTGAAGGTAGGGATAAAAGGGGTGGGAGAGGCCTTTCTAATTCTACACACCTGTTAAAAATATTTCTTTGCAAACAACTTCTTCATGATCCACTTATCTTTTACAATTGATTTTTATTTTTAGGGCTTAGAAGCAGCAGATGCAAATAGCACTATATCAACGAACGCACCTAGGGTTCCAAATACCAATGGTACCACCAGTCACGCTGATCCGAGTTCAAATGGTCCCAATAGACCAAATGACATCGCCATTCCCAGTGATTTAAACGCTGTACAAATCATAGAAGATCGCAGGGCACCCGAAGGAAAAGACCACGACTCCGATCTTGATAGCCCTTCACAGGTAATAGTATTCCTTGTTCTGATCTTCTCCCCTTCTTTTAGATAGATAGTTTATAGTAGATAGACCAGTTCACCTACTTTCCACTGGGACTATCTGATGTATTGATTCACACTTATGTACCCAGTAAACAAAATTACTTGCAATGGATCTTATAAGAAGTCATTTGATTGCAATATCGCGTTTTAAACTTACCGCACATCAATATAATGTGCCAGGAATATATTACAAACCGCTGTTTGGGAAAATGCCCTCATACATATATGCTTCCAATGGTTATCTATCGGGTTTTCCAATAGGGACCTGACAACTTTGAACTTTCACTGTGACCTTTAAATCAATTACCGAACTGTCAACGTCAAAACATGCAGTAAAGAAAATATTTTCATCATGGTGAAGTACACGAACGAACAACGCTTACAAATAATTAAAATTTACTACTGAAGTTCCGAGTCGGTGTCTGCAACTTTAACGTTAACGTTAATTTTTGGTCGTAATTCTCGCCCCAGAAGACAAGCAATTCATAGTCTAATAAAAAAATGTGAGTCCACACATTCGCTGCTGGATGTTCCCGTGCCAGTGAGAGAACGTGTTGGTCGAAGTGCCGAGAACATTGCTGCCGTTCATGTTTCCGTCGTAAACGAACAGAACACGTCGATTCCCAGGCGTTCTTAAGAATTGGGCATCGCTCAGACCACACTATGGCGAATTTTGCGAAGAGATCTTGGCCTGCACCCTGATAAATCAAGTTAACTTAAGAACTAAGGCCATTCGATCATATGAACCGACGTACATTCTCGAGTTAGGCTCTAGAAATGTTGCAAGAAAATGTCCTATTTCATCGCAAAATCATCTTCAGTGATGAGGCGCATTTTTGGCTAAAACGCTTCGTCAACAAACGGAATATGCGTGATTGGTCAGGTGAAAACCCTCACGTGCTTCAAGAAACACCACTTCATCCATAAAAAATAACTATATGGTGTGGTTTTGATGCCGGTGGTGTCTGAGGGCCGTTTTTTTTTTCGTTGATGAAAATGACCGTCACGTTACAGTCAACGGAGATTGCTACAGAGACATGTTGCAACGTTATTTTTTTTGTCAATTGGATTGGTTAGACATTAATGATATGTGGTTCCAACAAGAGGGGTGCCACAAGCCACACAGCGGGTGAAACAATCGACATATTTAAATCAAAATTCGGTGAACGTGTTATATAGAGAAATGGTCCTGTCGACTGTCCGCCTTAATTTAATACCTCTGGAATTTTTTTGTGTGGCTACACTAAATCATTGGTCTATGCCAACAAGCCGGAGTCGATAGAGGAGCTCAGAGCCAATATTGAATGAGATATAGCGGCCGTTTCTATAGAAATGTGTGGCCGAGTCATTGAAAATTGGGTTCAACGAATCGATCGCTGCGAACGTGCGCGTGGTGGACATATGAACGAGGTCGAATTCCATACATAAATGTTTTGAATATACTTCAATCCAATAATAAAATGTTCGAGATATCTCAAATGGTTTGCGGTTTATTTGAAAAGAAAGTTGTCAAGTCCTTAATGGAAAACGTTGTATTAGATGTCCACGGTGGATAATTAGGATATTCAGTTACATCTAATAGATACCCGTTTGGATATCCAGATGTTCGCCAGAAGAATATGCTTAAAGGGATGAGGGATTGAGGTGTCTCTTTCAGAATCTAAAACGTGCATTCTAAGAATGTGAATATGCTTTTTCATGTTTTCAAGATATTTTCTTAGATGACCATTGAATTTTTTCACTAATAGTTTTCGTTTTTGTATCATCCTGGGTTGAGACGCTTGGCTTCGAAAGAAAGATGGAAGCCAGAAATGAACCAAAAATTGACGTCTATTTCGCTTTTTACAAAAAAATAGATTTCATAAAATGGCGTTGGCTTGGCGGCAATGGCGTCTCATTTTTAAAAGCGCTTCCAGATTACAAAACGGCAAATGTTTTTGTTCCAGGAGAAGACGTATACTACTGACGTGAACGGCAAGGTAACAGTTCATGTTGTGGTGACGATAAACGGGAACGGGACGCTAGCAGATCTCAAAAAACAACGAATGCAAATTAGAAATAGCAGTAACGACGTGAACAGCATAACGCCGCCAGTTGGAAGCATCTCAGAAAATGATTCCACGCTCAGTCCTACCACGGACATAGTCAGATTCACGGGAAATATGACCGAAGAGAACTACGAATACTCAAAGCCGAAACGATGCTGCGTCATACAGTGAAAATTTTTATTTTTAAGTGTAGAAATAAAAGGTTGTAAAGAATTTACACGGTTGCACAGAATAGTACATTACACCGCTAGTTTGAGAAGGATATAATATGCGAGACCAATAATGGTATTCTCAAACGAGGTATGTATAGGAATTTTTTTCACTACTAACACAAAATATTCGATCTAACATCAGAATCATGACGTCTCCAATTCGTTCTACAAATGCTTCACAATATCTAGTTACCTGTATCAAACTGACAAACTCATATTCAATGTAACTGCAGCCGACTTGGTTTAGACTGATCTATCTAAGGGGAGTAAGGGACAAATGTTTTGTTTTTGTCAACATTAAATCCCGTTTTACATTATGTCGATTATTGGGACATTCCCTAATAGCACAAAGACGTTCCCGGAACGACCCCGTGCGACCTGGGAGATGTTCCTGGTAGGTCACCTAAAGTCGCATGGGACGTACCTGGAACTAATTAATTTTCAGGGAGGCTGCCGCTGGTCGCTAATGAAATGAGGCTGCTTCTCATACATTTATAACATGAGCCTAGCTTGTCACAATTCCCATTTTCTTCTCAGCTGTTCTAGCAGATAAAAACAAGCTATAACACTAATAAGAGCATCTGATAAGGGCAGGCTTATGCATTAAAAATCGACAGGAATCAAGAGAGCCGTGAAACAAAATTATGCTTACCTTGAATTAGAGTGAATTTGCACAATTTACAAAATTCGACACAACAACAGAAACAAGCCAAAAAGTTGCAAGTTCTGAAGAAAAATGGCATAGGGCGTATCTCACATTTCACTTTCTACGCATATATGTATGTACTTCTGCGCATTTTTCGCGGGCATCTCCTGTACATGGCAGATTTAGAAATTGAAAATATTTCGACTAGTCTCAAATTAAGTATTGGAATTTCCTTGCTGTACGAAATTCAAATCATACTAAGCAGTGATTATAAAAAATTACCCCTGAAAAATGGCAATGATTGGTTTGGGCTTAGGCTCTGTTGGACATATGGTCAAAAAGAAGTACATGTACGTTTTTAAAATGCATTTTACAGCAAAAAAATGGTACTCCTATATTATTGAAAAAAAAACATGACTAGTGCTGCGGAGTTATAATAGGAGCTGTTGAGCTTTTGGTCTCCCTTTTCTTGATGTCATCAGTGGCGACAAACTATAATTACATGATAGGTCGTTTTAAAACAAAATATTATTCGCCTAAATTTCTAGCTTTGACAGCTGCGAACTCAGAAATAACTTCATCAAAATTTATATTTTGTATTGCCTCGTGTTCGATGGCTAATATACATACCAAGATTGCTAAGCCGCGATTGGGTCATTGTTGCCTGCAAGTTTTTTTATTAATTTTAGCTTACTTAAACACCTTTCACATAAAGCTACGGACACGCAAACCGTTATGAACAATTTTACTGCATTCATAAGATTTGGAAGAGATTCTGTAAAATCCCATTCTGCAATAAACTTAAAAAATCTAGAGATACCCGATCAGAAACTCTAACATTAGCGGCTTTTAAGTGTCTTCGCAGTCTTGGTATCTCCAAAAGTAATTCAGTTTCTGAAACCTCATCATAAAAATCAGTAAATTTGGATGTAGCTAATTTCAGTTCTTCAGTATTCGCCAAACGCAAGGCATTTGTTTGTACGATCTCAAACGATGGTCTTGAAGAGACTCTTGTCTGGAGTTCAACTCTGAAAAAGTTCAGTCACCGGGTGGGCATCACCCCAAAAAAGCCAAGGATGTCCTTGGGATCAACAGATTGAAACGTTCCAAGAACGACTTCAACGATACGTTCTAAGGACGTCCCATTGGGTTACGGGACCTACCGACCAAGATTAGACCTAAATCGGACGTTCTAGGAACCAGTTGTGCTATTAAGGTTCAAGAAGAATGACTACTTAAATGAGGAGCTATACTCAAAATTACTTATTTCTCATTTGTCCTAAAATATTTCTACATATAAAGTTCATTTGTCAAACTGACACAATGAAATTGACACTATATAATTTCAAATGTGACTTCTCGGGTTAGTAGTAGTGAAAAAAATGTTTTTTCTAGCACAAAAAACATTAGATTGCAGTTAATGCCATAAGTTCTTGCTTGCCAGATTTTGACTTGTACAAATATATCCAAAAATGGCAACATGGAACTTTTGTTGTCAGTACCGATTGAAAATAGTTTCTAACATTTTGAATTCCAGAATGTTTTTGGTGACTGGAATATGTGATCTTGGATGTTCCAATAATGGCTTATTTTTCAGAAAGTGAAACAGAGATTTCTACTCTATATCGCAGTGTTTTTGTGGCGTGTAAGTACTATTCTTACATCTGTCAACATTAAAAAAAAATGTTTCATACACCATTCTATCTACGCCCCATTCAAGTGAGAATTCAAAATAGATATATATGTTCCATTAGTGTATCACAAAATTTGTTAGAAGTTTCCAAATAATGTGAATGTTATCGAGAGTACTTTTATCTGATCTTGTTTAGCTCCTTTAGCCAATAGGTGGGTTGCACGAGAGATGCGAGCTGCCAAACATTTGTAGTTGTTCTATTCAATCCCCCTAGAAAAATGTTGCTATTTCTAATGTCTTCCTTTACTAGACCATCTCAGCTGATCAGATCATTAAGACGAACAGTTTCACAGAAACATGAATATTTCAGTGTAAATAATATTTGGTCGTTCTTGTGGCAGCGTCGTCACCTTTCTGTTTGTTGACAAGCACCAGCATCATAAAGGTATGCCGGGCTGTAGCTTCAGAGGTGGCTCTCACGGATCCTCTGCAACCCACAAATACCTATGTGTTCTTGAGACTAGACAGTGGTATGTTAATACTTTAAATAGTGATTAGTTTAGATTGCTATCACAGTACTTAATATTTAAGAACTAGATGAAATATCGTGAGAAATACACCTTTCTGCAAGGTTAGTGAATATCAAAATTTTAGAAAGACGTTATTCAAGACTGTTCTTAATTAGAAAATATATTTTACAGAAATATATTTATACACCAAAATGGATGTTAAATGTCATATCGTCCCCACTCGGAATTTAGTGAACCTGCCGCTAGTACAACAGTGGCTAAAATACAGAACATGTAGTGTAGGTCTAAGAAAATATATAGAGTGAGCTTTTAGTGTTATTCTAGATGGCCCCTATAAAAGTTGAATACAAAAATTGTAGCCGTCAGGATGCTCCTGATATGGAAAATATTTTCACTTTTACAGCGTGGTTCGTAACTGTGTGGTGACCCATACATTTTTTAAATGGTAAGCCCCACCCTTGATTGCAGATTTGGCTAGGCACTCCCAAACGAAACAATTTGATTTGGTATACTTCTAGGCTTTTATCGCATTAAATGCTAATGTTGACAACTCGCACCTCCGCAATTGTTATAGCTAAAGTATTGAATTTTTCTTCAGACAAATTTTATTATCTTTTGTTCTATGTACTTACTTTTTCAGTTTTTTTAATAGTTTATACAGTGTGTTCAAGAAGGAAAAATGACCTATTTCTCAAAATTTTGAAATAAAACACCCTGAATATTTTCACATTTTTGATTCCCCTTCTCACAGGCTTTTCTCTGATATAAGGCCATAAAGAATGGGCTTTGTACAATGAGATTTTCAGATACTAAAACGCAGGGACACATTCTTGACTTTTCGACTTTATAAAGCTGGGTAGATTTAATTCATAATGGATATATAGCGTTTCTAATGACCTGATGATACCAAACTTGATGCTATTTTTTATTTTGAAAGGTATTGTCTTGATATCTGTTTTACAATAAGGTTAGCTGTAACTCAAAAACTAGTTGTACAAATCCCCATAAACCTGATACCAAAGAAAGCTTGTAGAAATGGGAATCGAGAAATGTGAAATTTTCAAAATACCGAAAAACTAAGAAAATATGAATAAATAATATGGCATCATAAAAACTCAGTACTCTAGCTACAATAGTTGCAGAGGTGCGAATTCTTAAAGTTGGGTGTTTTTTTTTCGATATGTCAACGAAGCCCTATTTATATCCAAACCATTTTCAACTAGCATAACACAAAATTGATCTTGAAAACAACAACGAAACACACTACTTCTGTATTCTGGCTACTCTTGTACTTTACTCTACGAGTATTATATTGACACTATGGTGACTGATAATAGGAGGGCACAGTTACGCTCTAAGTTGAATTTTTCCCACACCTGCTCTACTAGTTGTGGAGTGCTGCATCTGAAAAATAATTCTCCCAAAAGAATTTAGAGCATGTACGATTGTACAAATTGTATTTCGGGCGTGATCTCACCAAACACTGTGACTTCCTATTACAGCATTCATGGTTTGCAAGTCTTAGCGCTTAGAGGTAATCAGTTTCAAACAGTATTTTGCATGCAGTCTCTTAGTTGCATGTTACTGTATTTATATTACTTATATTCCTAAATATACCCTAATTCTATACGTAGCAATTGATTAGCTTATTTAAAAACTACTTCCTGTATCATCGCTAGAATTTTAAATGAGAATTTGATTTTTTTGTAAAACTGAAATTTATTTTGTGTTGAGATGATACTGTTTTGTAAGATTCATATTTTTTAATTAAGTTCATATTTAAGAATTTTTAAATAATATATTGTTCAGTTCCTTGTACAATGCATATTTTTAGGAGTATTTTACTACTTGTTGTTCGTACTTAGAATTTGTAACTCATTATGCATAAACTCCTCCTAGAAATATGATCACTTGTGACTTTTTTATTTTAAGTGTATATGTAGTTTTGTTATTAAATTCAGTATTACCTTTCCAGCGTTTTGTACATAAATCTAGTTTTTTGAAAACGTATTTAGTTTAATAAAAATGTGATATTTTCCATTATTCCCTGGTAATACTTCTTTTAAGTTCATTTTCCAGTAGTTGTTTGGAAGTACATAATTTTTTGTTTTTAGTATCTCATACATTCCAAGATGTGATAAAAATTTTACTTAAAATTTTGGCAAATTTTAAATATATTACAAGTACCTTAAACTTACATGTACATAAATCTTATGATAAACTATCTGCTACTAGCATTTAACGAAAAGTGAGCAAATTCAATAAATTGTGTGCCTGAATCAAGCAATAAGATACACTTGTAAAACATTGTTGAATTTGTAAAACTTTAAAAAATATATCTAAAAGTTCCACCTCACACCCCTTTTTGATACTGACATTTCATTCCCTTGCAAATGTTTCACCTGGATTACAAATGTAGTTAACCTTGTTCAAGATTTTATCAATATACAAATCAATATTAAGTGACCTTTACAAATGTGTAACTCCTGAAACTTATTCTGTGGTTTTCATGTTCATAGGACTACAATGTCTGGCGGAAGCAAACCACATATACGTTTAAATTTCTCTTTATTATAACGATGGCTTCAAAAATAAATGAACTGTTACTTGTAAGAGAGATAAACAAAATATACTGTCATTATTGTTATGGTATTTAAAAAGGCCACCGTCGTACAATAAACAGGAATTTAAACATATTTGAGGTTTGATTTGGCCATACAGTGGAGTCCGTTACAAATGTCTCTAGAATTATGTACCTTATGTATTTATTTATTATTTTCGTACATTTATTGAGTTGAAAAAATAAATCTCTATTACTGAACATGTTTTATTTGCTCCTGAAATACGCGAAAGTCGAAAAATGTCGTTTTGACGCTGATCTAAACTTTTTGAATGGTAATTCTTGCATTACCAGCGCAACAATTTATAGTTTATAAGTTCAAATATTAGGATTTCCGGAAATTGGAGGACATTGGTCTACTGTTGGGCAAAATTTTGTTCATTCTGGCCTCATTGTTTGCGAGTAATCAATTTTTTAGCAAGAATCGTCAAGTTTTTGTTGCCATTTCTACAAATATCAATTTTTTGAGCCGGGCTTGTTTCAAAATATTCAGAATTGATTGTCTACACGAAATCAGTGGTATTTTTTCTTGTGTTATAAATTATATAAATGGGCTGGGATCTTCGTGCCAAGTACTTTGAAAACCTGATTATTTAATGCCATTCTTTCAACGGTACTATTGGCGACCAACATTTTGTTGGTATTTTCTTTTTTGTAGCAATTTTAATTTAAATTGCTTCTATGACGCGAATGAGAAGTAATAGCATTGTGTGATGTGTGCCCTACAACTCTTAATAATAGAGAAATCCCTTAGGGGCGAGTATCCTCCGTGTAAAATTTTCTGGACGGCCGATCAGATTTTATCATTATTATAGAAACCACTTCTGTTTAACACACAGTGTCTTTTAGACAATCCCAATAAAAAGTCCAGTGCATTCTGATCCGGCGATCGTAGATCTATGAGGTATTGACAATAAAACAGGTGACCGTGGCACACATCGAATGGATGTCGACGAGGAGGTTTTAGAGGATGTGAACGACTGTATGGGGTGGCATTGGCTGGCCCGACTCAGTTCGCCCAGTTAGGGGTCATGACCTCCCTAATCATTTTCAGAAGAAAAAATTAGTTATGCTAAAAATTAGATGGAGGGTTATAGGAGTCGGGAGGGAATATCTCAGTTTTTTTTTGCAATGGTATATTTTTGCGCTCCCAACCCCGCACTGGTATTATGTATCTTGAAAAGTGACATTATGTCGTTTTTTTTTTGATATAACGTGTGATTTTCTACAAGATGTTAACTTAGCACTAGCTAATGGACACTTGTTGTGAACTCGTTTTGTAGTCGTACGTGTTGCGTATACGTCATGATGCATCAACTGTCAATGTTTGGCTCTGATGTGATATAACTGCTGCTCCAGAGATGGCATTATTAGAGGTATAAACTGCAAGTTGTATACTATAGACTATAGCTGAAAGGAATCAGCGCCTAGATGTGAGGCACTGCGAAAATGTTTGAAGTGTGATGCGTCATTCCTAATTTTTCTGTGATGTGACTTAATTGCACACAACGCGGGCGTGGTGGCAATTTCCCAAAGTGCTTTTCAAAGTTTTGAAAAAGGGTAATATTGTAATTTATACCTTTGAATATAACTTCTAAAAGAACAACATAGAAATGTCCCGTCGAGCACAGCTAATAGATATACTTCATTAGCAGCATATTCAGTAATAATTTTCTTGCATAGCAAACATCACTGATTTTATACAGATGCAGACCAATTTACATAATCATCCAGATGCGACCTTGTTACTCAACCAACATTCTTCCTTTCATCTCTTCTCAGAGATAAACACTATAGACCACTCGGCTCTTGTTTTCTGCAACCAGTTATGCGTGTAGTTAAGTCATTCCTCCATAAATGGACCCTCACAGTGATCATAGCGAGCAAATGTAGAATGAACTATTTGCACCCTAAAAACTACCTAGTCTGCAAGATATCTTGTTTTTTTTGACGTTTTATAGGTTTTTTACATAATAATTCTTAAACGTATTTTATATACATCATAGACTTCCCCCTACTTTGCCCTTAAAACCTGAATGAAATATTTTAAATTCACGCAACCGAACGAACGTACATCTACTTCAACAGCTGACCGATATTTCACGGATGGGAGCCTGCAACACTGTGAAACCAAATGGCATCGTTACGTGGGACGTGAAAAGTCAACCTACTTGACGCCATTTCTGGTTAACCGTCAAAAAATAATTTTACCATATACTTAAAAAGCAGTGAAGTATTGGAAAAACTGATCCATGTCAAAGTTTTATGTAGAGTAGGAAAATACCCTCAAAATGAGATCTTATATGTTCATCTTACTGATGAGCTTAGCTTTTTATTGAGATGAACGTTGATTGTCAAATTTAACTTTTAACAAAAAGTGCGCAACAGAAAATTTGGAACAATAGTCAACTTAAATCTTTTCCGGGGAATAATTTCCATAAGAACAAACTGGACAAATGAAATGTCTCATCTTAAATGTATTTTACCGTCTATAACTGTTCTGTAGATCACATATAGCAACACTTCAAAGTCTTTTGAATATCCGCGAAAAACTGATCCTCACAACTTACTGACGATTAATGAAAAAAGTTATCCAGCAAAATTTTTTGAATCTTTCTAATTTACCCTTAAGCAAGAAAATATGTCCAAAATCTTATGGTATTCTAAATTTGCATCCTTAAGCAAATGAAGATATGAGGCTATGTAGGACTTTACGAAAACAAAAAAGGCCAATAGGGCCAAAAGAAAGTTAGATGTAAGATGACTCACAAGTTGTTCTACGTAGGGATACATACATTTGTGTTGAGTAATTTTTGTCAGATATACTATCCTATTCCAATTATAGGCCAACATAAAATGACCTTTTTTTATTCTTATCTGAGTCTTTAATAAATATTTGAATAAAAAATGTTAAATTGGGGTTTATCAAGATTTTTAATTATCAATCAATGATACAAACAATGACGCAGCCAAGTTTAATTAGAGGAAAATGAATCAGCAATTGATAAGCTATTAACGCGAATCGAAATAAAAACTGTTCGGTAACATTTTGCCGATCGACGTATTATATATGAGTGGAATAAGTGGAATAAAGATGAAATGAGTATTAACCTGCTGATTAGTATCAGATATAGGTATCTGGAGATCTTAGATCTCAATCGAACTTTTGAAAACCGCGAAACTCGACGCAATAACATTAGTATTATCACCAGGATAACGAATAACGACAAAGCATTTTTATTGTCTACTGATATTTAAAATCACATCTTTTGTAATGAACTTTCAATGTAGGAGGTGTTTTACGTTCGAATTTAGGAACTTATTTCCGAATAAAGGTAGATAAGGACAAGGTCAAAACCTCCCAGTTATGAGAGAGCGACTTGAAGAGAGTGTCACTGATTATTTTTATTGTGTTTACTTGAATCGCATCAAGGTTAGGCAGTTTGCTTTGCCGAAGCAATAGTTTTCCAGATTGCTGCAACGGTTACTGCTTTTAGTGTTGATGTGAAAAATAAATCGTAAATTTTGACTCCATACATCCGAAAGAATGACCCTTGATGAAGGCGGAAGGACTGCCGCAAGGTCATTTGTCACATCAGACCGCGAAAGTCGTTACCAGAACCTCAAAATATTCAGAGCATTTTCCACCGAATGTCTTGACAGCAAATGAGGATTGCGGTCATCTGCGGAATGGATGTGAGCCAGATTTGTCAAGCTTGAGACGTGCGAAAAAACTGGGTTGATATTGTGGGAAGAAGAGGAAGCATTATGCAATAGAAGGAATATCGGATTTACTGAGCTGAAAAAACTGTCAATAATGTGAGATGAACCCTTTGTTATTGCGATACAAGGAAGTGACCACAACTACGAGTAAAACGGAAGTTCCCACCTTACCTGATGCAAATCTTTGGGTGACTACCGAGCGACAAAGTGCAGTGATTAAAACCCGAGAATCTACCGAACAGTGACACACTGAAATTTTTATTGACGAAATAAGATTTGGCAGGAAGTGAGTACTCATCAATACATTTCATTCAAGAAGTGGTGCCGAACCGACACTGTCGCTTCTACCAGCTTTTCTGTCACATTTTGGCTCCCTTTTGTTGCCAAACTTGCCCACATTAACTGGACATTTCCAGGATATCTGGAAATACAAAGAAGAAAACATGGTCCGCAATCAGCACGCTGTTTTCTTCGCATTTTCAGGTATTCTAGAAAATGTCAGAGAGAAAGTGGATATTTAAATATAGGACACTTACTCTTATCTCAACATACAGATAGTACTGTTAATATACTGGAACAAAAAATATGTCAAAATACTACAAAATCACTGCTCGAATCACTTTGAATACAACACTTGCACACAATTGCAAATTTGACACCTCGAGTGCCACTTAGGCACCACTTTACAAAAGTGAGTTATTAGTATGTAGTTTCTCCATGATGAGTTTCATTCCGGTGCAACAAAGTGGAGCGGTTGATCAAAGGCGCTGGTAACAGACTATGTTTTCTTCGTATTTCCAGATATCCTGGAAAAATTTCCAGATATCCTGGAAAAATTTCCAGATAATGTGGGCAGTGCAGTTCGGCGGGTTTTGAATCAACACAGGAATAATTTTGCCAACAAACAGAAGCCTAAATGTAACAGAAAAACTGCTAGTAGCGACCGAATACACCAATATATAGAAATCACGAATTTGCGCTTTCGGGATATATGTACCAGCATCAAAAAATACAACACCCTGTATTCCGGTCACTCCTCTAGTGCTGTTTAGCCACCACTAGATGAGTACTTACTAAGCCTCATTCCGGTAAAAAATGTCAGTGTGGGATTCCTTAACCACCGCACCATTAGTCTAACCCTTGGACTCTCCTATGTTTATAGATGATAATAAGAAAATAACGAACGTCGAAAGATCTTATTTATGTCATTCTGTTTTGTGAAATAAAAGTTTCAAAAATACCTTTGCTTACGCATTTGATCTGATTCCCGTTTCGCAGCCTACTTTAGAAAGTCTGTTACTATGCTCTAACAAGAACCCGTTGTTGTGTGATACTGATCCCCAATGTCCAATTTGATGGTCACCTGTCAGATATGAGCGATGAATTCAAGCCGAACAGATGGAAGAAATATCTGATGTAATATTGACTGCAATTATTTCAGCCGCTCCTGCTAGTTTTGCCGGTCCTGCTATCTCGCGTC